CCTGTGGGCAGCGACGTGGGAGAAGCCTTGCGAATTTCTCTCGATCAGTTTCTTAAATATTGACTACTAGCTGTGCCCGCGACTTCGTACGCGTGAAAATCCGTTTTCGCAACATTTTTCATTATTGCTCTGCTCCTATTGATCGTAGCGTGATGTTGTATAGCCTATAGCCTTCCTCGGTAAATGTGCTATCTAACACTGAAAGAATTTTCAAATCGGACCAGTTGTTCCGGAGATTAGGGCGTTCAAGTAAACAAACAAACTCTTCAGCTTTATAATATTAGTATAGATAATAGATATAGTATAGATTGTGGTATTATTGCCTAATTATTAGACCTTTTAATACGATTATTAATCTAAGTAAAATTATGTTGTTGTTGCAAAAGGTTTTGGTCATACATATTAAGTAAATATTTTCAAAAGGCCATTAAGTTTCAAACTAAGCAAAGCTTCTACGAACTATGACTACGAGACTAATGCTCGTTTTCACCATCAATCCCATTTTTAAGTGACCCCTTTAAAAACAAAATTCCTGTTATGTGTTGCCATAGGGGTCACTTAAAAATTAGGGATTGATGGTGAAAACGGGCATAACCCCCTTACTAATAAAAAGTTACACGCTCATTAAACAGTGGCTTAAATTGACATTTCCATACTATGTCTCAACGCGTATGTAGCTTTTATCAGTAAAGGAATACTTATAATTATTCTGTGGTAAGGGTAAAAGAATAAATCAAACTATTTTCAGTATTTTCATTATTATTACAAAAGAGAAACAGCTCTACTAAGTTTAAGTTTGTAGCTGGTCTGGCTTTTGGAAGAAATATTTGATTATTAATCTTAAATTTCTTTTTCCTTCTTTCCTCTGACATTCAATTGAATTGAAGTTCAAACAAAAATATTGCTTTCAAGACAATTATTGCAATATCTCATCAGCCAACCCCGAACCATACATTTAAGGACATAAACTGGTGGAGCTTGAATGACTCCAATGAACTGATCATTATTGGGAGCTATACGACTTGTAATAAGCTGGTGCTGAATTTGAATTGGTACTATTGTGTAGGGATGGGAAAAGGAAGACCATATTTATCGATATGTCCATTGCTAGACAAGGAAACACAGTTTATCGAAAAATGTCGGCTATCAGTAAGGTAGGTTTAGGTCCTAGTTACAAAAACGGAAAACTTGTATAATTTAATAGAGAGATTTACTACTTAACTAACACCAATCATAGGAAGAAAGCCTGTAGATTTCAATTTCTCACAGAATGTTTTTATCCTTCGGTCAATATTTAAAGTTCATCTGAATTCAAATAATACTGAAACACCCTTATTATTACTCGTAGTTCCTTACATTAATAAATCATTGTCATATCCCTGCCATTATTAATAAAATTTAAGTGAGATGCAAAATGTTTTTGAGATCGCTCGATGTAATAAATATTAATCAGGAGAGTTAAGTAGGTAGTTAAACACATTTAAATATTTTTATAAAAACTTATTTCTCGTACCATGAAAGGTTATCAATAATGATAAGGTGCATGTTGATGCTCTGCTGGTTTAGCCAAAATATGTCATCATTTGCTACTTGATAATAAGTTATTAATTAATAAAGGTTACTTAAAGTTCATGAAAATTAAATAACGTGGTATTAATGTAATTACACGCTGTGGTGGGTCGGCATCGTCCTAGTTATTACCGAACCTAGTATTATGATTCAGGTATTATCGATATATCGATAAAAGTACCCTTGACATACAGCACTATTTTAATGTCTTTGTATTTTTAACTTACATGATCTTTTGTTTACATATCATTAATTCTTTGTGTATATTTATTTTGTGTTTTTATTCGTAAACATATCATTAAGTACAGTCATGTACTAGTTTTAAGTGCTACTGAAATGTCTGAAACTGTCAACTGAGTCAACAGTATTGCAGCTTCAATAGTTCAATATCAAAATTTAAATACAAGATTCATATCACTCCAACTTATTCACTCAAGCAACCCAAGGTATTCACCGTCAATTTATTCCATACCTAAACAATCGCTATGAAATCGATAATCACAGTGATTAAGCCGATAGATCGATTACACGGTGTTTACTATGCGCTATTACTACCAGGTAATGGCCGGTGGCGCCTGGGAAAATTATCATAATTTCACAACTACTTTGTAAGGTATAATTTTTACAACACCATTAGTTTTAATTGGGACACAATAAAAAGAGGACAAATCCCACCACCACCCATGGTTCTTCCTGCCTCACGACGTACGAACCGAATCTCGGGAGAGCGCGCGGGTACTTGCTCTGGGCTCTTTCCCCGGGCGCTTTGCTTGACTCCCTACAAATTTATCTGTTCCATGTCCCTTCTCATAGTCAATTCTCCCCCTTCTGATAATAAGATAAAAAGAGGACAGAAGATCTAGCTATTACGGGACTATTCCTACCTCTCGTTCCCAACCCTGCAATTCCTGTGTAGCCAGGATCTACAGCTTGACCGCCAATAAAAACCAGTGAAGGTCAAGTTTGCCCCGGGGGAAAGTTAAACTGTCATTGGACCCGAAATTAATCAGAAGAACATAGGAGGAGTTCGAAGTTAATTTAAGACTTCCCTTCATTTATTAGAGTAGCTAGTCTAACCACTGAGCTTCCGATAAAACTGTCGAACTGTACTATGGTCTACTAAGATATTGATAAACATTCCTAAAATAGGCAAATCTATCACTATTAATGTCTATCTAGTTATAGATTCTCAAGTTGATCTCAAATTTTGTTTCCAGCAGGAGTCGAACTTGCAATCGTAGCATTGTATTCGGATCTGCCATTCACCAACCAGAACTTGATGACACTTTTTTGTTTTGAAGTAAAGTTACTATTATTTTCTATGTTGTGTTCACATTGCCTTTTATGAATGAGAAGTATCTAAGTAGACAACAGCTCATTTACAGTTAATTGTTGTTGAAAAATCGTACCTATTACAACTACATAAAGTACTATGTTTAGATAGATGTGCTGCCGTCTGTAATTACTATTTAGCATAAACTAAGAAGGATAATTGAGCCGGATATCACACCAGTGGATTGGCGTTGATTTTAATTTGACTGAGCAATACGAGTAAGTCAAATTAGAGGATATTGTAACTAAACTTATCGTACGTATCTCACATAAATTCTATAGTATGAACAGTGTTTGGCCCAATATGTAACTATCTGACCAACTACAGAACTATTCTAACATACCTTATAAATACTCACTGGACAGTTTTGTACAGGTTTTAATTTATTTTATTTTATTCAATAAGTACACATACAGGTTACAGTCATTTACGTATCAAAATACATAAACAAAATGAACAGTGTTTAATGAGAAAAAAAAAGCTTGTAACAAATATTCTTTAAACCTTAACTCTGATGAAGCAATGATGTCGTGCCCTGCGTGCCCAAACAACTGCACGCAGGAAGATTTAATGAAGGCTACTGACAACGCCATTCTTGTGGCGGAGTTTTGGGCTGACGCTGTGTAGGTTTGTTGTCGACATGACAAGAAGAAGTACCTAAACTATCTTGGAGGCTATAGGAGTTTCTTAGTAATCGGAGGTACAGGATTAATTCGAGTGCTAGACCGATTCATATAAAGATTGCAAGAATCTTCTAAGTCCTAGGAAATAAAAAGCTGTCATCATCAAGTTGAATGTTACAGATATTTTTATAACTTCACGAGCACGAGAATCTTTTGCCGATCCAGTGCCATTTCCCTTAAAAAAATCGGAGTTACCTTCTTCTTCAATTCATCAAACAAAGAATCTATAAGGGTTCCGTTTTTTGCCATTTGGCTACGGAACCCTTAAAAACATTTCGTACCCTAGCAACGAAGCTATACCTAATGTATGCCAATATTGCCAATGCATTAGAATCGGCATAGAAACCTAACACTTAAAGACTTGCTAATAAATAGATTGCAACACAGGTAGTGGAAAAAGGCGTTTCGTAGTGATGTCTGTAAGCATCGATATCGATATCAAGTAGTAGTTAAAAATATTTTCATGCTTAGGGTTTTAAAAAGGAAATATACACGACTGTGTTTCTTTTGAAAGCAATTCTTTGAGAAATGAATGGACTCAAGATTAGGTACAAAGTTATAGTTTAGCGGCCTAAAATTTATAGAAAAATTGGTAAACACTGAGTAGGAGCCATTTTGGTTCAATAAATTATGTATTTAATTTAAATTGTGTAAAACGTTTGTTTGAACCAAATAAACATTTTTTTTTTCTTTCTTTCTAAACTTGAAAGAAGTTTTTAGGAGTCAGGAGTTTTCAGGAATCTTGAAAAACATTGAACGAGATCTCTTACTAAAATATTGTTATGTATTGTAATTTATTGCATTATAGCGTTACTAATTTGTTAAAATATTGTTATTACCGTTATATCGGTACGCCTTCATCGTAAATTAATCTTTTGGATATCGATATCGAGCTTCCAGTACGATGACATCACTAGCACAACATCACTATGCAGATTGAAAAAGGCGTTTAGATTATGTTGAACATATCGCCGTCGCAGTCAAATGGCAGGACATTATGCCAAAGTAGCTATTGAAATGTTGTAAGTCCATATAATGGAGATTATCATGGCGCAAATTTTGTGAAACACGTGGGGAGGCTGCAAGACTTCTTAGAAGGGAACTGGTGATATTAAATTGCGAAACTAATACTTATGCAACGTTAGGTATAACTACACACACTGAAAACATTTTGGAAAACATTTACATAGATAAGAAACAACTTAAAAGAGTCAAGGAAAATTAATGTAACGTAAATGAGAGAAGAAATTTGCTTACCTTTATCACGCAAACTGAATTTGTCATCGTCATTTTCCCCTCTCCAACTTACAAAAAACACCGGTTAAGTTATAGTTACGGTTAAAGTAAGGTGGTGCAATTCAGCCTTACTTTGAAACATAATTTTTTTTCTGAACTCAACTTGAGAACAGTATAAGATGCCCTTGATTTCTTTGGGTTTATCAAGTGGAGTTAACATCAAAACTTACCTCACTTTCTCTTTGTTCCAGCACGCAAACGCAGTCCGTGACTCCGCCCGGTTGATCCTCGAGTCTCCAGCGCCAGAGTCCGAAGACGCCATGACCCTGGCCCGTGCGCTCCGCACCAGACCGCCCGTCAATATGCTCCCAGCAGCCAAGGCCGGCACCTTCTTCGCTAGAGACAACCTGTCCAACTTCATCGAATGGTGCAGACGAGCTCTGGGCATCTTAGAATGCCTGCTCTTCGAAACTGATGATTTATGCTTGAGGAAGAACGAAAAGCACGTGGTCTTATGCCTTTTGGAAGTGGCTAGAAAGGGAGCAGTGCTAGGAATGCCTGCTCCGTTATTAGTACAGATGGAGAAGCAAATAGAGAGGGAGTTGGCAGGGGAGGAGATCAGGCCCGACGAGTCTGCCTTAGGTCTGGTGCCGTTGGGTCCTCAGCCTCAGTTGGTGACAAATGACTTGAGGAGTCTGGACGAGCGGGTCAGGGATCTGGTGGAAAGGTGCTCATGCCCTACTCAGTTCCCCATGGTGAGGGTCTCGGAAGGAAAGTACAGGATTGGTGACACGAAGCTCCTGATTTTCGTTAGGGTGAGTATTATATTTATTTAGTATCTATCTATCAACACTAGTATTCAGAATTTTTCGAAATACTTACGAATATACTTAAAGGCGAGTGTTTAAGAAAATATAGCCTCTATTATGAATTTAAAGTAATCATAAAATATAAAGACCAGCTCCCCAGTTTTAGAAACGAGACAAGTCTACCAAATACGTAAGAGTTAACTAGCATATTTAAACATTCGCTCAAAGATATTTACACAATCTTATTAATTGAAAATCATTTGTTTCAACTGTGATATTTTGAGCACTTTAACTGTAAAGATATTGACATCAACTGTACGAATCTATAAATAGAATTGACCCTACTCGATCGAGTCTTCGATGGGAAAGATAAAAATAGCGTAATCAATACAACATACGTTCTCAGAACAGCTTCTGTTTGAGTCAGAAGCGATGACAATTATTTAATTGCGAGCAATTAATGAGGGCGTGAGGTATCCGGCGGCTGCGAGGCGGCTCCGTAATGCATGCAAACGGCCCCGCTTCCTGATCACCTTACCGTGTTACTGGTAATTAACGCCATAGCTGTGGCATAGGGTAGGTAATGTACAGAGGTGCATGCAGGAATGTCTTAAGAAGCAGCCCTTGTACAGGTCTACTGTGCCTATACGCTAGAAAAGTTTGTCTAATTTTGTGGGGACAGAATCCATTAGATCCTGGGTTCTATCCATAGGTAGGTAGCAGGAGTCAGGACACACACAAATTCGAAAATCAGGCACACCAATCTTGTAGCGTCAACTACAAATTTCAGTACATACGATCTAAGTAAGGACTTATTGAAAAGCGGAACCGATTCATTCTTTTTAGCTTAGCTTCGCCGTCAATATTCGCATCATATTTTTTCCACTTTGTTACATCGGCAATATTTTTTCCAACTTTGTTAAACGGCTAATGCAGTTGCCATTAAAGCTATCATTATCACAGCAAAAGCTCAAAGTATCAACCTTTTTATAGAGTTGGTAGGTACAAATCCATTACCTAAGTTAGTACGAAAGTACTTCTCTGTACGATATTTAGTCGTTGTTCGCGTATTGTATTGTGATAAATCCAAAGATGAGAAGATCATGGACATTATAAAATTATGTGACATCATCACTTATTTAGATTTGCGTGAACAATTTAATAAAGTTTTTTTTATACTATGTGTCACGCAGTATAAAATGTTTCTTTACTATTAGTAAAAGAACTTGAGAGGTCGTTTAATTTGTTGATAATGCTGCAATGTGAAATTTTATCTGCTTTTTTTTCAAGGTCAACTTGTACAGAAATAAATACGAAGGATGTACGATAAGTTTTTTCATTCAATTTATTGAAGTTTTTTTTATATGTGTAGTATGTCTGGGATAGTTTTTATTTACTAGAGTTTGGTAATTGTAATGAAATCGTCAAACATTATGCTTGCCCAAAACGCTCATAATGACTTAATAAAACTAACTTCATAATAATTTTATTTCAAGCCTCTAGCGTAGCGATGGGTCCTAGTTTGGTTACAGTATTTACATTGGTTAAGTTGTAATAGGTACTTGCTACAACTTACGTGTACCTACATACGATTTAAATCATAAACGTATTTATTGCGCCAAGTTGGCAGCCTTGTTTGTTTTGTCCGCCACAAGCTACTACCAGCTTAAGATGGCAGATAAGTTAATGCAACCTGCCAATATATTGAGAACACAATACAGCTAGGGGCCCGTGGGAAAGCCTCGGACCTTGGCAATTCAATTGATAGAAACAGAGAAACACACGCTGACCTCTATTCACCGTACTTCAAACCTTGCTGGCACCCTTAAAAGGATGCTGACCAAATCGCACGACCAATCTAAACTGACCCGCGAACATCAACAAATACTCGAAATTGGAAGCCAGCTTCATTTGGCCGTGTTGAAATTGACCATTATAATTTGACCTGCCTCCGTATATGATGAGTTCGAAAATACGTGCCAGGATATAATGGATGTTTATAAGGTCGAATTCCTAATGTTTTCTTGCGATATGAGACTAGTTCGATTTGCCCAAACAAGGAATCGAACGCTGGGCATGAATCATCGCAGACTTTAATGGATTCAGATCTTTGTTTGATGGCCTCAGATTTGATGGAGGGATACGAACCTAAACCGGTATCTTGATATTTGGAGAAACGGATCATTGTAATTTATTTGTAGAAATCGAGAAACGGGACCATTTTGATCATAGAGCAAGCTACTAAAATATAACGACTAAAGTTGCTTATTTAAGAAATTAAGATCACAAGTAGGTAGTACATATAGCTTTTAAAACAGATAAATCCAAATGAGATCTGTAATGTGTATGCGACTTTCACAGAAATTCTTTGATGAACAGACTTGGAATTTTGATGTTAGAAATTGGAAGGATTATGTAATTTTTGTAATTCATTATAAAGGGCAATTTTAGAAAGAAAGAAAGATACGTTTAATTTTTAAACTGAATCAAATAGCAAAAACTAATTTTGAAATATCTACCAGAAAGTTCGACGCTCTTTCCTCTCTGCCTTCATGTCTATCATGAAACATTACAAAATTACTCAAAACCCTTTATTTATTCCAGATTCTCCGCTCCCACGTGATGGTCCGCGTCGGAGGCGGCTGGGACACCCTCGCCCACTACTTAGACAAGCACGACCCCTGCCGCTGCCGCGCACAGCACCGCACCTCGCTGTCTGCCCGCCTGGCACGCCCCAAGCACGACCTGGCCGGAGCCACGGTCACCTACGAACGCCCCGATCCCGGCTCCACCTCCTTGACCTACAAACCAGATAAATACGAGAAATACGAGCCCATGTCGCTCCAGACGTATCAGTACAACAAACTGTATAATGACGATCCGAGAGCTGGGCATTACCAGTCGAATCACAGGCTCAGCGATGCTCCAACTAGTCTTCCTTATATGGGAGAAACGGATAGAGCTGTGTCGCCTTATAGAAAGATTACTCCAAGAGCTCACAGTCCTTCCACTGGCAGAAAGTCTTCCTCACCTGACAGAAGATCTAAAGTGGTCGTATCTTCGAATCACCTGGTTCCAACTCCACTGGGAAGGAATAAGAGTCCAAGGCCGGTGTCACCAGCACCAGCAGCTGAGTCTGCATCAGACAACGGGTCGGAGGTGTCAGATGAGGGATACAGGAGCTTGGGAGTGGTGGCCGGGTCCACGCAAGGATCGCCCTCGACGAAAACTACGAACAGATACTCGATGCACAGCCAGAATTCGATGGAAGATGCTGAATTTAGTGGTAAGTAGTTTTCAATATGTTTTAGATATTTTTATTTAAATACACTTTGCGTTTGCCTAAATGCGGCCAGCGCTGGACCGGTCGTTGTGGAAATATTTGGGGGAGGCCTTTGTCCAGCAGCTGTAGACGTCATTTAGCTGAATAACGAAGACGAAGATACGCTTTTATTAAATCGAGAATTCCCATGATATCATGAATCACGATGACTTTTTGACTCCAGTTTTACTAATGTCACCGTCTGACTGTTTAGACGCGTAGTTTAGTAATTAGCATTAGCACCTCCGTTTTAAGGTAGCTGCAACAAAATATGTCCTCAAACAATGTATGGACTGTGATGCAAATAATTTACAACACAAAATATTGGGTGTTGCGTAAACAATTTGCGTGCAGTATCCGTTAAACCGGGCTAGATAATAGGCAGGTCGTCGCAGTTAGCGTTTCAGCGAGGAAATACATTGAAATGCTCCCGCTAAGCGCTCGTGTGCAAATTGTTAGTGTGCTGTCTAAGCGACAGGTTTTCACCAGAAAGATCGAAAACCATTCAAACTCCTAAACTGCTTCTGTCTTTCCTGAGCTTTAAAATCCGCCTCTTCAAGGCGAGAGTGAATAAACACTATAGGGCAGGTATGTTCCATCTTAGATTGCACTCATTTAACATCGATTAGGTGCGATTGCAGACCTACTTTGTGCTGCATAAAAACATAAAGCAAAAGAGCGAGAAATCGACAAAAAATATTTCTAGCCAGCGTATCCCAGACACCGTGCCCAGACTCTACATTAGTGATACCCCAAGTGGTTTGGGTTCTTCTAGGGATCTATGCAAATTGAAAATTAAATTGGGAGTTTTTGGGATGGAATCATAAACTACCATAGTAACCTGTATTTTGAAATAGAAATTAACAAGGACATCACTTAAAAAGATCAGCGTCATTTTTACTTACGGTATGTTATTTTTTGGCAAATCCGCTTATACCTCTTCATCAGACCACCCCAAAGACAGTTTTGCAACGTTGTCGTTTGCGCACGGACCGTTAAATTGTCCTGTTAGCGGATGAATAGGCGTGCGTCTGCGCATCGTTCCGACATGCTTTCAGCGGAACTCGCAATAGGCTGGATATGGGTTCGAGTGGCTGCTAAAATTGAAGTAGCTGATTGGGAAAATTTGACAAAATTAAATCCTCGCGTAAAGGGCTGGATGAAAAGTAACACAAATTGATTATGTCTTGTACTTTGAATACAGACCTGCAAGAATGATGAGGAATTTAAATGAAAGAGTACTTCAAATTCATTAATTTGTCTGGTAACACGTCGGCTATATTTTTAAGCCTACAAGAGCAAGAAAATCAAATTTCCTATAAGTTGATTGTCATTCATCATCTGTATCTTCGTTTCATCTTTTGACTTCTAGATTATTGTTTCTAGTGCAACTATTTTTCAATGACTTTCTATGTTGCCACTTCGTTCACTGTGTTTGGCATGTATGTATTTATTTTATAGCACTAAACATTATACTATTACGACAATCAGGTTCTCTAGAAAATATCACTAGCCCAGTTAAAGTACCATTTCATGCTTATCCAATGTATTTTGTTTTTGGAATAAATAAATGAAATGAAATGGGCCCTCATCATCAGGTCGTCCGTCCATCGGGCTAGTTCTCAATTACAAAATCCCATTGCCAAACATAATATTTGTCACCTATTGTGAGTGTCCAGTTCCCACGTCTGTTTTGACACTCGCCGCCTTTGTCTGAAGACGACACAAACACTTACAAATAATTTCAACATTCTGTATGAAGACTCGTGAGAATTTTACTACACTTTATATGGTGGTCTACTTCAACACATCATGGAAATGGACAGACCACCCGGGGACAGACACTATTATGGTAGTGTCTTTCAAAACGTCATGAAAAGTGACACTCAAACCGCCGCGCTGCTAGTTTTGCCCAAAGTTGCGTGTTACCAGAATTGAGACAATTTTATTGCACAGGTATCGAATATGATATTAGGCAGATGGGTATTGTGACCAGTAGCGAGTGACCTTTACTTTGTTGGATAGCAATATACCTACAATCTGGTGAAGGTCGCGGGAAGAACCTGGATGCGGGCAGCGCAGGATCGGTTATTATGGAAAGCCTTGGGGGAGGCCTTTATCCAGCAATGGACGTCATTTGTCTGAAACGAACGATACCTACAATCTGATCGAGCTAACTGCGCACCACGCTGGAATGCGACTCTCCCTCCCACTTACCCGCATTCCTCCCCGCGTTCGCCCCGTCCGTACCAGAGCGTCGATGTGACGTCACGGCTGTCAGGTGCGCAGTTAACTCGACCAAGTTGTATATCAGCTGTCCTAATAAAACAGTTCCTAAGAAACTTAAGGGCTGGTGCGTTGGTCAATCAATACTATCTTTTACAAGCTCTCATTTGCCAATTACGATTTGCCAATAACAAATTGGTAACAATTGAACCTCAAAGTCACTGTTGACCTTAATGCACACCCACTGAGATTACTATAGAACCAGGCCAACGGCGCCAATATTTGCACATATGGCTCATGACCGCACAATAGCTGATAGTGCTGTGCAAATATCGATAAAAATCTGAGTAATGGTCGACCCATTTCATGGTACTGCAAAAGATGTCATGCTTCATATTTCGTACTATCAACTGTAGCTCCCTACGGTTGACAGTACTTTAGGTTATAAGATTTTAAACTTTAGCGTTCCATTTCAAATAAACTTCGCGTTAAGACCCGTGTCTTTCTATTTTAGTACATTAGATTGTACTTATTTTTTTTGCAAAATAGATCCTAGTACAACTACAAAAGATGTTACAGTATTAGTTTGACATGTTGTATTTTCCGTAAATTAAGCCATTTTGGCAAACTTTAGTATTTTCTAAATTTTTGATTTATTTCCTGTAGAGTCGACCGATTAATATTGTTGAAAATAGCTTCAGTAATGATGTAATGAAGTAATATTGATTTATACCTGAATTATGGCCATGTCTTTTAAACAATTCCGTAAAATATCGACATATAGATATCGACACTTCAACATCTCTATCCGATACAAAAATGTCGCGAAATTTATGTAGATAAGTTTTGCAAAAACATTCGGCTGTGGAATGTAGAGCAAGTATTGTTTTTTGACTGAGGAAGCATAGAACTAACATTATGACGCTTTCAGTGTTTCTGAATACGTGCGTGAGCAATTTGCAGGCGACAGCGCATCAGGCTACATATTTTTTTGGAAAAGGGCACCTATAACAAATACATAAAGGTGCTGCTTTACATGGATGTGCCTGTCATTCCCCACCTGCCAAATATAACAAACTAGCGGCCGCCCGCGACTTCGTGCGCATGGATCCCGTTTTATCGCCTTAGGAGTTGAATTTTGCAAAATCCCATCTTAGTGAGCACTTACGTTCTAAAAGGAACCCCCATGCAAAATTTGAGACTCCTAGCACTTGTAGTTTTTGAGATTTCGTGATGAGTGAGTCTGTCAATCAGTGACAGATAGATAGATAAAGTGAGTGATATACAGGGTGTTTGGCGCATCGTGTGCCAAAATGATTTGGTGGATAGAATGGGTCATTTCCTATATTTTCAGCCCCCATAACACGTTCCATACCAGGCGGCTACTTTTAAATTATTTTTTTTAGTAATTTCACCAAAATACCCAAATCGCATCATTTAATTTCGATTTAAAAAAAAACTACTAGGCGCAGCCCTAAAGTAAATATTTTGTTTTGACGTGCATTAATGTAGGGTTGCATCAAATCTAAATTTATTGGCAAATATCATCTAGTTTTTTTAAAATTCAGCTTTGAAGTTTTCCGAAAAGTTAAAAATGGACTGAACATTTAAGTTTACATGGGTATAATTTTTTTTTAAAAGAGATAGCGATCTTCGGATTTTATCAAAACTTCTCTAGTCTATCCTCATTCAAACGGTATACTAATCTTGTTTAAATAATAACAACAACTTCACAAATTCCTTAAATTAGTGCATTGACTCTACTCTGACTGATTTGCGAAATTTGTGTTTATAGCTCCTTTATGTGTGAATAGCACGTTTAACACCTACAGGTAAAAATTATTTATCTTATGCAATGTAAAAACCTTTTCCCAATCGTTTTTCAATGTGGATTTCTTGAATTTAAAGACGAAAATAATTATTTTGACCGTTTATTAATTAAAAAAGTAAAAAGTAAAATTTAATTACTTTTAATTACTTTTTAATTACTTTTTTTTAAGTAACGGCAAAGCATTTGTATTAGTTGGTTCTTGTTTTGATCCCTTGTGAGAAACTTCTCCTGGCTAACTTTTGGAGTAGTTGTCTCATCGAATGTGAACTCCGGCGATTGGTTTTTTCTCGAACGTCGTACTCTTTCCGAAGTTTTCGTTCCAGCGAGTGTCATATCAGTCGGATAACCGTCGAATATGATTGCAACCTTTCCTTCGAAGTTATGTTGTACGTATCTGACGTTAATTATTTAATTATTCCGAAATAATTTGTGTCCAAAATTTTTGACTTTATCGATCGATATCTCGATAACGATGCATGATACGCTAAAAATGGTTCGGGCGTTATTGTAGAGCACAAAGAAAGCTACAAAAAGTGTCCTACAAAAATTTTCGAGTCTCATCGGATAGCCGAGTTATTGCCGAAAAACAAATTTTACCCCTTTTTTCAACATGGCGGCGAAAGCTCCTAGGAAAGTTTGGTCGACAATCTCAAGTTAAGCTTTTCTAGGCATCCCCTACAACATATTAAAAAATTAGAAGCGCAAATTCATTTTCTTTTTTGAATGTACGTAATGACTGGACTAATATGTGTCTCCGGTTTAGAGACCGAATCCGGCAGCCTGTTCCTCTAGCTCAAACAAATCATGGTCATGTACCATGCTTCGATCCTTCCATCCAGTGAACGCTAAACTTTCATTGATACCATCAATAGCTTCTTTAAAACGTCATATTACTCATTAACCACCCATATCTGTCCAGGAAGAATGCAATACACTTTCGATGGCATAAATTCAATGCAGATGGTCCTATAGTACCACACGTGATATGCATTTCATCAAATTCGCTGACTCAGTGGTTCATATCGTCCTTTTGCATATTTGCGTCCATTATCACAATGTTAATTTTACTGAACAATTTTAAACCCTGTGTGGTTGGGAATAAGATATATTGTTTGGAGAAAGATCGGTGGTAGAACAGTAAGTGCACTTAAAATGGTGCAAGGATCACATTGTTAGGAGTAATGTACACAGGGACGTATTTAGAGCCTGGTGAGTTGACTGGCGCCACCAATGCATTTAGTTTTATACATATTCTGAACAAGATATATCTGAAAAACTACTAGTACTCTCTTATGAAAAGACAGAAGGAAAGTTGATTCAAATCGATAATGATGATACTCAATGGGGAACTGGAATCCAAACTCTGATTAAAATAATCTAATTTTGTAACTACTAGATTAAGTGTTTGAATTCAATAGAAACAGAATGAAACGTTAAATATTATTAAGATCAAATCGGAGTTCAAAATTTTGGTGAATGAGCTCCAAATAACAGTTATAGCCTGACCAGGAACATAAAAACCCTCGCCATGTTGCGGAAAACTAATGGTACTAATTTCTTTTAATGGCAACAGTAACTGAAAACTTCATTGACATGTCACCTTGCATGTCAGTCTATTGCTGTCAAAGTGTAAACAAACTTTATTTTAAATGTGCGCAATTGATTTTGTGAATTAAATTGCTGAAATCTTTTTATAGTCGTGAAAGAAAAGTGGTTCACAATGTGTTAAAGTATTTGTCGAAGAGAAATACTAAGGGTTCGGACAATATTTACATTGAATAATTTTTCCGACAAGGGTGTCAAATTGACTGACATGTTTATCGTATAGTACAGTCGTATCGTAAATTAGCTGTGGTTTGTTTCAACTCCCTATTTTAAAGTTTTTTGTCACTTTCTAAGTGTTGAATTTTATGGAATTGGGAAAGAAGTACCGAGTTTGAAGCGTTCATGAGCAGACATTGCAGTTGAATATTCAAGTTCTGAATTTGATTATTGATGAATAATAAAATAAATCCTACTAGCTCGATTGATGGTTTTTAATTTATTTAAACCAGGTTACCTATAATAATATTTTTTCGTTAATTTATGAAAATATCAAATTAGCCCGTAATCCTGAATCCTGATACATAAAGTTAGCCTATTAATTTAACACAGGTACGACTGTACTCAGTGTTGCACTATCAAATGCAATTGACGCGCCTCTATGCCAGGGTTTTTATGTTCCTGGTCAGGCTATAACTATCTATAGACGTAGGTGCATGTTAGCTAATCAAACACTGTAACTATGTAGTAAAGAAGTGATGTTATAGTCTAAATATCTATAACTCAAAGGTGACTGACTGACTGACTGATAGTGATTTATCAACGTACAGCCCAAACCACTGGACGGATCGGGCTGAAATTTGGCATGCAGGTAGATGTTTTGGATTGATTGACTGGATTTTACAAAACTCCACCCCTAAGGTGGTAAGAAGTCGCGGGCGGCCGCTAGTATAACATACTCGTAGTATTTTGTAACAAAAATGTAGGTAACGTCTCTATTTCAGGACCACCACGGGTGCGTAGTCCGGCCCTGCATCAATCCTTTCTTTATTTGCACCGAAGGCAAAGAGCATGTCAAGTGTTATGACTCTCGAGTGGTCTTCAGCAATACTTTAAAGATGTGAGGCATTGTGAAAACCTGATTGCTCTGTCATACTCGATGCTCAGATAAATGTTGCGAAGGTTGATAAAACACTTCACGTTTTGTTGTTATTTATGTTGAGCAATACAAATTGAGGTTTAATAAGTAATAAGTGTATAAAAATATCGATAGTTGTCCTCGACAAGTATGCAGGATATCTAGATTTATAATTTGTGATGATGTCACTGCAAAAAATTCGCTGACTGCCAGCTATCTTTCCCGAACACTATAATCCGGGCCTTTTCAAGGCGAGAGTAAATAGGCACTTACAGGGCAGATATGTACCATCCTAGACTGCATCTCACTTTACATGAGATGCGATTGCGGTCAAATACCGGTCATGTTCTGCAATAATAAAAAAAATTGCATCCCAATACATAAAACAGACTTTTACGCCCGTATTCACAAACATTACTATGAAGTCTCACAGTGCGCGTGGACGCACAGGGTGACACAGTCAATCACAGAGCTCTATTCAACGCTGTGCGGTAGATTTGCTGCTTCACTTAAGCGAGCGTCGTTTGTGAATACGGGCATCATTCCCTTTTCTTCCTCTTAGTTGTCTTTTGTCAAAAAGCCAATAATTTACCTATGTCTTCTAGAAGTACATAAGTACGTTAGGTAAGGAAGAAATATCTAAATAAGGTTGTATGAAGGTACTGTATCTCATGTTGATAGCCCAATAAAATAAATAAATAAATAAGATATGAGAAGACGGAGAATTATTAGAATTTGAAGGACAAAGCCCGAAGGTCGCAAGAGACCGCCTCGCTAGCCAGGTCCGCCCGGCTTCGCTCTCCTTTTTAGTAGCAACCACATTCCTGACGTAAATGGTGCGGCCGATAGCTGACAATGTGACCGAGTCATCTCTAAGTAGGGCTGGTAAAATTATAATGGAGCAATTATAAAATTGAGTAAAACCAATTCACAATTGACGTCCCTTTGATACACACGGAAGGATTTGCTAGTTCATTTACCATGCGAAATAACAGTGGATTTCTTGGCGTCTGACATACCAATCAAATGTATCATAAAGCTTGCGGGCATACGGGTGTCTTAAAGTAAAAAGGTACCTACTTATATTGTATAGTAAGCATGTTTCATCGGACCTCAAGGATACTAATTGCCATTGCTAAGCATTATAAATTACTACAATAACACAGTCCAGCGGTCGACCGAAATTGAACAAGACTTTAATGTATAGACTATCTTCAGCATTTTAATGTCATAAAGACACCAAAAACTCGTAACTAATTTAGAAAAACAAAGACTCTGAATTGGATTAGGTACTGTAAATATACCTCCTTGTTCACTATACTCATTTATGCTACGTATTGCAAACCAAAGCTCACGATCATAGCTCTATGGCATATTCCTTTTTAATTAAACTAATGGAAAAATTTTGAACCAATACCTTAAGAGATCGGTCAGACTCAGCCCTGAATCCGTTCGACACCTACGCCGAATATGGTGTGATATTAAAACGAACGATAGCTGCGCGCGCGCTGACGAATTTGATCCACGAGGCTATGTATGGTGAAACGTACAATGACATATCGGAATGCATTATATCGCGGCCCTGAATTTGATCTGTATCCTATCAAAATGTATCATAGATCTGGAAAGGATTGAGCAAGTTTGCAAGTCAAGTCAACAATGTAAAATTGCATTTTTTCAGTACATAATTTTAGAGCTGAAATATAGCTCCTTTAGGGTAAAAGTAAGTAGGTACGTAGTACGTACACGCCCTGGCTAATTTTATTGTGATAGCTCGAAGAATAGATAAAATAATTACTAATCAAAAGATTATGTGTGACTAGACCACCAATCTTTTTATCGACCACGTTCCACGTTTCCACTCCACAGTTAGAAATCTGTTCTAAGTATAGACGATTCTAACAACAAATTGTTTATTTTAGAAGCTGCTATAATTAGGCACCCTTACTTTTACTTTGATCCCAAATATTCTGGACGCGACACATCTGTAAAACTTTTCTAAGTTATTGTAGTCGTATTGTTACAAAAATAGACTTCAAAGCTATTAGACATAACCTCATAACTATGGGAAGGTCTCGATTTAATAGTCACTGTACTTTTAAGGCAATAAATGTTAGACTAGCTTGTGCATTATGGCTCACCCGGAAAGACCACTTCAGCAATTAAATAACTCAAATAATCTAGCTGAGCTATTATCCGCACTTCTAAAATGGTAGTGGCGGGTATCATGTATTTTAATTTGTATGGATTGGAATTACAAAGACATTTATTTATTAGGTGTGTCGTATAATTTAATAACAAGCTAAGATCGCAGTTTATAGCTTTATACTTTTATGGTGTGAATGAATTATACTTTGATGAAGTGACAAAACTATGTTTATTTATCATAAACCATTATTAGAAAATTATATGAAGATTCAAATTCAATTACTGAATAGGTCTTGTGTGACAACAACATGACTACCATGGATGACTACCAGTTTTATCAATAAATGAAGTAAACATATTAATATTTTCCCTTTTCTAATTTCAGAGCGTCTCGACCAAGATGATGGCTGTCACATGGACAGAAACGAACGAGTAGATGTCTACGTGAGCCTCTCCACCGGCCTCCGAAAGACTGACTTCTCCGACACATTCTACGGGGGCAAGAAACCCGGCTCTATCGAAGACAAGAGCAACAGAGGTAGCCCCGAACGAATCGTAATCACAGAGAATAACGATTCCCCCAGCAAAAGCCTCAGACCATCAAGGGACGCGATAGAATCCCCCACGAAGACTATAAGAAGTCGGCAAGCCAGTCGTATTCCCCATTCACCAGTCAGGAACAGAACTCCGAGTCGCGGGAATACACCAAGTCCCAAACACGTAGCTAATCCTGCTCAGACATCGCCCAAGCTGACTCCTAAACTCCCTCCTGCAGCTAGGAACACTTGGAGCGGTCGCACTGCTCCCAACCAAGCTAAGGCTAAAGCCAGACCCACCATTGGAGCTGATACCTTCGAGAATCCCAACAAATCTCCTAAAGCCAGAGTCAAAGCTGTTATCCAATCAGAGGCCTTCAAGAGAAATTCTCCGCTCCGAGCTAGCAGCGCCACTCTCAGATCACCACCAAACCAGANGCCATTCCGATATGTCCAAATGGACATACATGGTCGAGTGATGTTCATGTAATCCGATTACAACAATCGGTTACGATGATTTTACGAGGACATTAGTACGAACACGGTAGAAAGAAGAAATTATTTACGGATTGAGATTGTAATTAACAGCACAAGTAACAAATAATTAATTAGAATAAAGTAGCAGTAGAAGAAGTATAAAGTAGCATTGTTTTTAATACATATCCTGCGATGTACTCTTAAGAGTTAAAACCATGGTCCCTGTATGTGGTGCACTCATACCGATCCCAAGGAACCGTACTTACTCATAACAATAAGACACACACTGATGCATTGTATTCATGCACTTGACAAATTTATGTCTTGGAACGCTGGTATGGGTAAATAAAATAACGAGATTTGACGATTTGTAAGAATTAATTTATTTTAAAAAGGTAAATAAAGATGTTTTTGGTTTTGTATCTAACAAATTATCAGTTTTATCAGAATTAATTAATTTTCGAATCGAGTCACACGATGTCATTCGATGACTTTGCAAATGCAGTACGATGATACGATTACTTTTACGTTGCGGCAATCACTAAAATGACACTAATGACGTTTAAAAAGTGGCACGCTCGGCTTCATACAATTTTTGACACATGCTGCATCTATCCATATCTGTGCTGTATATCAACATTTGCAGCTGGGTTGCATCATCTTACTTTAACATTGACAAACGTCAAAACTCTGTCAAGTTCCATACAAAAAAACCGGTTATGGTTATAGTTACCGTTAAAGTTAGGTGGTAAAACTCAGCCTTAGTATTCAGAATTTTTCATAATTACTTATGAGGATACTTAAAAGCGATTGTGTCAGAAAATAGAGCCTCTTTTATGAATTTAAAGTAATCATAAAGTATAAAGACCAGCTCACCAGAGTTTTAGAAACGAGACAAGTCTACCAAATACGTAAGAGTAGCTAGCATATTCAAAGATATTTACATAATCTTATTAATTCAAAATTCTTTGTTTCAACTGTGATATTTTGAGCACTTGTAAAGATATTGACATCAACTGTACGAATCTATAAATAGAACTGACCCTACTTGATCGAGTCTTCGATGGGAAAGATAAAAATAGCGTAAACAATACATCATACGTTCTCAGAACAGCTTCTGTTTGAGTCAGAAGCGATGACAATTATTTAATTGCGAGCAATTAATGAGGGCGTGAGGTATCCGGCGGCTCTGAGGCGGCTCCGTAATGCATGCAAACGGCTCCGCTTCCTGATCACCTTACCGTGTTACTGGTAATTAACGCCATAGCTGTGGCAAAGAGTAGGCAATGTGCAGAGGTGCAACTCGTAGGAATGTCTTAAGAAATAGCCCTTGAATACTATGCCTATTCGTTTAAAGAAAAGCTTGCCTAATTTCGTGGGGATAGAATCTATCGAGATCCTAGGTCCAATCAATAGGTAGGAAGTAGGACACAAAAACTAAAAAATGAATGAATGGATGGACTTATTGAAAAACGGTACTGATTCATTCTATTTAGCTTAGCTTCACCGTTCATACAATCACAAATCATATTTTTTCCCACTTTGTTAAACGGCTATGCGCAGTTACCATCAAAGGTATCATTATCACAGCCAAAGTGCTCAAAGTATCGATCTTTTCATAGAGTAGGTAGGTACAAATCCATTACCTAAATGAATGAAATTGCTTCTCTGTACGATATTTAGTCGTTGTTCGCTTATTGTATTGCGATAAATCCAAAGATGAGAAGATCATGGACATTATAAAATTATGTGACATCATCACTTAATTATTTATTTATTCACAATCCTAGCTAGACTCTATAGTGCCCTAGTTTAGAGTTTAGTTTCGCGTGAACAATTTATTATAGTTTTTTTATACTACGCGTTATGCACTATAAAATGTGTTTCTTTAAATTTTGTAAACGAACTTGAAAGGTCGTATTATATTTGTTGATAATGCTGCAATGTGAAATTTTATCTGCTTTTTCTTCAAGGTCAACTTGTACAGAAATAAATACGAAGGATGTACGATAAGTTTTTTCATTGAATTTGAAGTTTTTTTTATGGTGCAGGTATGTCTGGGATAGTTATTTAGACGTACCTATAATAAAGTTAGAAAACTATTTGACTTGTCCAAAACGCTATAATATGAACTTAAAAAACTAACTTCATAATAATTTAATTTCAAGCCTTTAGCGTAGCTATAGGTCCTAGCTTGGTTACAGTACTTAAGTACATTACTAAATTGTAGGTATTACTAGTTACTTAGTGTAAATACACACGATTTAAATCATTAAACGTATTTATTGCGCCAAGTTGGCAGCCTTGTTTGTTTTGTCCGCCATGCTACAACCAGCTTAAGATGGCAGATAAGTTAATGCAACCTGCCAATATATTGAGAACACAATACAGCTAGGGGCCCGTGGGAAAGCCTCGGACCTTGGCAATTCAATTGATAGAAACAGAGAAACACACGCTGACCTCTATTCACCGTACTTCAAACCTTGCTGGCACCCTTAAAAGGATGCTGACCAAATCGCACGACCAATCTAAACTGACCCGCGAACACCAACAAATACTCGAAATTGGAAGCCAGCTTCATTTGGCCGTGTTGAAATGACCATTATAATTTGACCTGCCTCCGTATATGACGAGTTCGAAAATACGTGCCAGGATATAATAGCTGTTTATAAGGTCGAATTCCTAATGTTTTCTTGCGATATGAGACTAGTTCGATTTGCCCAAACATGGAATCGAACGCTGGGCATGAATCATCGCAGACTTTAATGGATTCAGATCTTTGTTTGATGGCCTCAGATTTGATGGAGGGATACGAACCTAAACGGGTATCTTGATATTTGGAGAAACGGATCATTGTAATTTATTTGTAGAAATCGAGAAACGGGACCATTTTGATCATAGAGCAAGCTACTAAAATATAACGACTGAAGTTGCTTATTTAAGAAAAAGATCACAAGTAGGCAGTAGGATAGTTTTTAAAACAGATAGGTAAATCCAAACGAGATCTATAAATGTGTATGCGATTTTCACAGAAATTCGTTGATGAATATACTTGAAATTTTGATGTTAGAAATTGGAAGGATTTAATAATATATTTTAATTACAAAATGTTCATTATAAAGGAAAATTTTAAACTAAATCAAATAGCAAAAACCAAATTTTGAAATATCTACCAGAAAGTTCACTGCCTTCATCTTTATCATGTAACGTGACAAAATTACTCATAACTCCTTCTTTATTCCAGATCCTCCGCTCCCACGTGATGGTCCGCGTTGGAGGTGGCTGGGACACCCTCGCCCACTACTTAGACAAGCACGACCCCTGCCGCTGTCGCGCACAGCACCGCACCTCGCTGTCTGCCCGCCTGGCACGCCCCAAGCACGACCTGGCCGGAGCCACGGTCACCTACGAACGCCCCGATCCCGGCCCCACCTCTCTGACCTACAAACCAGAAAAATACGAGAAATACGAGCCCATGTCGCTCCAGACGTATCAGTACAACAAACTGTATAATGACGACCCTAGAGCTGGGCATTACCAGTCGAATCACAGGCTCAGCGATGCCCCAACTAGTCTTCCTTATATGGGAGAAACGGACAGAGCTGTGTCGCCTTACAGAAAGATCACTCCAAGAGCTCACAGTCCTTCCACTGGTAGAAAGTCTTCCTCACCCGATAGAAGATCCAAAGTGGTCGTATCTTCGAATCACCTGGTTCCAACTCCACTGGGAAGGAATAAGAGTCCAAGGCCGGTGTCACCGGCACCAGCAGCCGAGTCTGCATCAGACAACGGGTCGGAGGTGTCAGATGAGGGATACAGGAGCTTGGGAGTGGTGGCCGGGTCCACGCAAGGATCGCCCTCGACGAAAACTACGAACAGATACTCGATGCACAGCCAGAATTCGATGGAGGACGCTGAATTTAGTGGTAAGTAGATTTTCAATATTTTTTGGTTATTTTTATACGCTTTGCGTTTGCCTAAATGCGGGCAGCGCAGGATCAATTATTGTAGAAATCCTTGGGGGAGGCCTTTGCCCGGCAGTGGACATCATTTGGCTTAAACGACGAAGACTAAGATACGCTTTTATTGAATTGAGAACTCCCATAGGATATCATGAATAACGATGACTTTTTGACTCCAAAGTTTTACTAAGGTCACCGTCTGACTGTTTGGACGCGTAGTTTAGTAATTAGCATTAGCACCTCCGTTTTAAGGTAGCTGCAACAGAATACGTCCTCAAACAATGTATGGACTGTGATGCAAATAATTTACAACACAAAATATTGGGTGTTGCGTAAACAATTTGCGTGCAGTATCCGTTAAACCGGGCTAGATAATAGGCAGGTCGTCGCAGTTAGCGTTTCAGCGAGGAAATACATTGAAATGCCCCCGCTAAGCGGTCGTGTGCAAATTGTTAGTGTGCTGTCTAAGCGACAGGTTTTCACCAGAAAGATATACAGCCATTCAAACTCCAAAACTGCTTCTGTCTTTCCTGAGCTTTAAAATCCGCCTCTTCAAGGCGAGAGTAAATAAGCACTAGAGGGCAGGTATGTTCCATCCTAGATTGTACTCATTTAACATCCGGTGTGATTGCAGACCTACTTTGTGCTGCATAAAAACATAAAGCAAAAGAGCGAGAAATCGACAAAAAATATTTCTAGCCAGCGTATCCCAGACACCGTGCCCAGACTCTACATTAGTGATACCCCAAGTGGTTTGGGTTCTTCTAGGGATCTATGCAAATTGAAAATTAAATTGGGAGTTTTTGGGATGGAATCATAAACTACCATAGTAACCTGTATTTTGAAATAGAAATTAACAAGGACATCACTTAAAAAGATCAGCGTCATTTTTACTTACGGTATGTTATTTTTTGGCAAATCCGCTTATACCTCGTCATCAGACCAACCCAAAGATAGTTTTGCAACGTTGTCGTTTGTGCGCGGACCGTTAAAT